AAAACAAAACTAAAAGCCTTAGTTTCGATATTTCTTTTGTTTGCGTTTTTATTGTGATGACTTGTTCGATAGGTAGCCAGTAATGTTACTTCTCTGAATATCGGTGTTGCAAAACAGTGTTGGTTTATTGTTTACGAACGCGCGAACTTGTTACTGTTCAAATATGAATTTCAAAAATTATGATTTAAATAGCAAATGCAACACTACACGTGATCCAATCGGCAAATGGGCCCTTCTTCAACCATTTTGAGATCGACCTTAGGTCCAACCAGATCCCGAATATTGTTAATGCCATACTTAATCATCGTCGGTCGTTCCAGCGACAAACCCCATGCGATAACATTTACATTTTCTGGTAGTCCCATTGGCAGCAGCATTTCCGGCCGGAAGACGCCAGAGTTGCCCACTTCAATCCACTTGGCCAGACCAGGATGATAGCAGAATATCTCCATGCTGGGCTCCGTGTACGGATTGTATGCCGGCTTGAACTCCAGCTGAGTAATGCCCAATTTTCGGAAGAACTCATATAGTGTGCCAATCAGATCACCAAGTGTTAAGCCAACATCGGCAATGACGCCCTCAACTTGATGGAATTCGGCCAAATGGGTCGCATCCAGCGTCTCGTTGCGGAACACCTTGTCTATGCTAAAGTACTTTGCTGGCTTGAAACCACCCTCCTGGTTTGCCAGTTTGAAGAGCATGCGCGCGCTCACAGCAGTTGTGTGGGTGCGCAGCAGATTCTTTTGAGCTTCGGAGAGCTTCCAATCATAGCCGTAGCCCAACGAGCCGTAGCCACCTTTTGAGTGTACGGCCTTCACCCGCTGCAAGTACTCCTGGGGAAACTTGTGGCTCTGCGCCGGATGATTGATGAAGAATGTATCGTGCGCATCACGTGCTGGATGCTGTTGTGGCTGAAACAGTGCATCGAAGTTCCAGAACGATGATTCCACGTAGTTGTTGGTAGGCATTTCTGAGAAGCCCATCTCAAGAAAGATCTGGCGAAACTCAGTGCGCACCTTGAGCAGCGGATGCAAATGACCCCGCGTCGGTGTCGCGCCCAGCGCATCAAAATTGTATGCCTTGAATTTTAGCTGCTGCCACAAGCCGCTGGTCAGCATATCCATGGTCAGGTCCGTTTCCAGTTTAGTGAGCGTTGTGGAGAACTCTGGTCCCTTGCTCAGTACGAAGCTCTTTGTGGTTGTCTCCTGCAATAGCTTGCGTTTCTTGTAATCAGTCACGTCCCTGGCAGATAGCTGCGCCCTGCCACTGACAACAAGCAACAGCTGCTCTTTTACATTGTCGACAATGTGGTCGACTTTGCGCCGAATCAGCGGCGGATTCACACTCTTGTCCAACAGTATCCAGCCCTGCGACATAGCCTTGCTAAAGCCCACTTTGGCATTGGCTCCGCCGGCAGCCATCAGCGCTGCTTGAGGAATGCCCTCCGCCGGCACCAAACCATAGACGATAGCCTCGTGGCTGCCATTCTCGACCACGGATTGACCCTCGTCGGTTAGTCCCAGAGTCTTCTGCGTGGCTGTCTCTGCGTTGACCAAATCGCCATGTGCCTGTATGCTTTTTAAAGCACCGACAACTTTTTGGTGGTCAACATTGAATTGCGTGGCAAGTTCTAATGTATCAACTTTGTCGACGGCGTCCAAGTGCTGTAGGATGCGCTCGGTAAGATCGGGATGCATGTTCTGTGCCGTTTCAGCGTTAGCTGTTCACTCAATTGTATTTGGTATAACGTTGATAAAAAACGTACACGAATTTGCAAATGCAGTCTCACAATTACAAATCGCGTGTTGCCATTGTCGATAAAAACAAGTATCGGAAGGCCGGTGGAAATTTCGATTCGATATATTGCACGAGAGAGATTAGTGTTGGTAAGTGCAATTTGGTGATGGTCGAAGAAATCAACATTAACAGGAAATGTGCCGAAATACATTGCGACGAATCATTAGAGTCAAAATTCCTAATAATATGCATTTGTGGCCTGTCCATCGTGGACTACGATGCGTTCCGGCGGCACTTCTGCAATGAGCATTTGCAGGCAGAGATCCGCGTCGAAAAAGATGATTTGCCAAAGGATGAACTCACTCATGAATCTAGCGACTCCACGAGTGCCTCCGATTGCCTAGATGAGCCCGTGCTGCTGATGCCATCGATCTCAGTGTCAGTGGCAACAATAACAGAATGTCGATCAGATGCACTTTCCATTACCACTGACAATGTCGACTCCAACTGTAGCGCTGCTTGTGATGGCCCACATCTGGGGAAGCAGCCGGAGCAGCGTCCATATAAGCCGCGCAATAAGTCAAACATATGCACATATTGTGGACGCACATTTCGACGGCGCTATCTGCTTGACACGCATTTAAATATACACACCGGCAGCAAGCCCCATCAGTGCGAGAGGTGTGGCAAACAGTTTCGCGCGATCTCCACGCTGACGCGCCATTTGCGCACCCATGAGCAGCGCCAGGCGCTGCAATGCCAGCATTGCGAGAAGCTATTCACCCACCGCAGTGCACTACTTAGCCACGAGTTGCGGCACACACAAGTGCGTCGCTGGGCCTGCACCGTCTGCGACAAGTGCTTCTACACCCGCAACCAAATGGATACCCACAGACGCAAGCTACATGCGAATCTCAGTGTAGAGAAGGCCGATTCGACGGATAATGCTGACAACAGCTCGGAGCATTTGCCTTTTGCCTGCGAGCTGTGTAGCAACACTTACCGCAGTGCCTCCACGCTGAGCACCCACAAGTTGAAGAAACACTACCGCTTGGCCAAATACAGCTGTGAGCAGTGTGATAAAAAGTTCATAAATGCTAATCATTTGCGGCAGCACCAGCAAATACATGTTAAGCCCGACGCTCTAATAAACTAATGTCCATATGTATATATACATGTCTATGTAGTTTTTGTTTGTCAAGACAAACCGAGCTGAGAGAGATGTTATTTTCAACTTGGTCGATCAGTTTTGTAGATATATCCAGATAATTGACACTGGGCTGAATTCCAATTGGCGCCAGTCAATTGGTTTTCTTTTAGTGTGACCTGCTGCGTCCGATAAGAATACAGTGCTGCAAAATGCCAAAACTAATCATCTGTTTGGCCAGTCAGTGAGAATTGAATATCAAACACGATTTGTTTGCGTTGCTTTGCGGCAGCTTGTTGCGGCCACAAACGATTTGAAAACATACAAATGTGTAGTAGTTAGCGAAAATATAAATAACTTAATTAAAATGCTGAAGGCACTTAAGCCGGACACATTTGCGGGAATTGCCAATGCCAAGTGCGGCGAGATATACTTCCAAAGTTTGCATAGCTATCGCATTGACTGTGCGTTTTGTGACATGAAGAGCTTTGTGTTTGCCGACTTTCTGCTGCACATACAGAACGAGCACTTCGAGAACGGTCTGCTCAAAACGGAGACACTACTGCCGAAACAGGAGGAAATGGATGGTTGCCCTCCGCACTTGCACTTGGACTCGCAGGCGACAATCCAAGTAAATCCGTTTACCTGGTATGAACTAGCCAATGATGATGATTTGAACGGCAACAGTGGCAAAGATTTTCTAGACGAAACTAAACAATTGCTGGACGACGACGAGGATGATGATGACGTGGAAGATCCCGTTGGCTTAACCAGCAGCATCATAAAGTGGGACAGTAACCCCATCAGCGGGACAGAGCAATTGCGGCAACTACGTGACCACAATGCGGACTACGATGAGGACATTGTGTCGGAGGTGGAAAGCGCGGATGCCATTCGTCCGGATGGCACACTCAAAGCCAAAAAAGAGCAGCTGGCCTGCAAACATTGCAATAAGACGTATCAAAACAAAAAGTCGCTGGAGCGCCACATTGAGCGACAGCACAACTATGCGGATTCCGATTTTGTTAACTCAGATGTCGATGTCGATGATGTCGATGATGATGATGATGATGATGACGTCGACGTGGATTATGCGCCGCCAAAGGTGCATGCATCCAAGCCGTCCACCAAATACAAATGCGAGCACTGCGACAAAGTCTACCATGGCAAATATACATTGCGCCAGCACGTGAAGCGAGATCATGATATTAACCTAACCGAGACGTTTGTCTGCCTGGAGTGCAATGCACAGCTGCCGCGACTACGTCTGCTGGACGAGCATGTGGTAAAGGTGCACGGCGGAGCGCCGTGTGTGATATGCAGTCGACGCTACAAGACACGCCACGAGCTAAAACGCCATCAGCTGAAGCATACGAATGAGCGCAATGTGCCATGCAGTCATCCGGGCTGTGATAAACGCTTTTTCACCACGCGCCACATGCGCAACCACAGCAAGGTGCATTCGGAGCAGAAGAACTTTGTCTGCGAGAGCTGTGGCTACAGCTGCCGCAACAAGGAGACGCTGCGCGTCCATTTGCGCAGTCACACGGGTGAGCGTCCGTTTGGCTGTAAGGTGTGCGACAAGCGTTTCCCATCCCATTCGGGACTGCGCGAGCACATGGCCATGCACTCGACGGAACGGCCACATGTCTGCAAAGTGTGCGGCGCCACGTTTTCCCGACAGAAAGGCCTCTATCATCACAAGTTCCTGCACACGGCGACAAAGCAGTTTGTGTGCAAGCTGTGCGGCAATGCCTATGCACAGGCAGCGGGTCTGGCCGGGCACATGCGCAAGCATCGCAATGATGAGCTCAATGGTTAATATCGCTAATATCTCTTATCTATGCTGCAATTATGTGCTAAATCATATCTTCCACTATTGTTCTATTTTATGTGTAATTTGTAATTTGTAATTTGTTGTTGTTTTTATATTTAAGAACTCAGGCATAGGTTAGGCGGAAACATCATTTTCTATATGTATGTATGTACATATGTATGTATGTATGTATGCATCACATGCAGTATACATAAATAGTCTAAGCTATTAAATTCTTATCAGCTCGTTTTTCATAAATTCCGTTCTCAGTTTTTGATGAGCGAAATTCAAATTTACCAATCGATAAGACTTTGTATATCGGTTTTACAATCGATCGAGCTTCTGTTGCAGAGCATCGAAATATTTCAATTGTGCTAAGCGATGGGGGAGAGGGAGCGGTTAGATGTCTTGTTATTTAATTTTAGCTGCTTTTGACAACAATTAATCGAGCCACAAATGCCAAATCGCGCGTTTAACCTAATGCCAACGATTAAATTTAGCATACACTGCGTGAAAATGTCCGACGAGGCTTTGGTAAGTGCAACGTGTGTACGCAATTTGGTTACTTCACTGTTTCGCATTTATCTTAAAGGAAATTTTCAAGTCAAGTTCAAACCAGAAGCATAGCTCAATGACTGCAAAGCCACTAGAGCAACAGCGCCATCAGACCAAAAACATTGCCACCGAAAAGGACGTACTGCGTCATATGTGTGAGCATTGCGGTTATAGAACTCGCATACGCGGAAATTTGAAAGTGCACAAACGCCGTCATACTGGGGAGAAACCCTTTCGCTGTAACGTATGCGATGCTTCCTTCGCGGCGCGATATCAATTGACCACACACAACGAACGCCATATGGACGCACATCAGCGGCGCAGTCGCTACATGTGCAAGGATTGCAATGTGGGATTTCTCAGTGCGCGCGCTCTTTATCATCACAAGCCGCTCCATGCCGAAAGTAAGCAGTATAAGTGTGCATTGTGTGACAAGTCCTTTGCACAGGCAGCTGGCTATGCGCAGCACAAACGTTGGCATCGCCAGCGTTACGGGCGAGCAACTGCCACAACCAGCTTAAAAGTGCCCGAGGCAATCGATGCAAATAATTCAAATTAGCGCGCTAACATGTTTGCCAACACTGACGTTGTTTCGATAATATTGTTATTGTTATCGAAATTGTGCTATCGAGACATTGTTTTGGTATTCGCCTGCCAGTTAACTTCTTGTTTATATTTATTTGCATGGCAATTATTGAAATAAAACCATCCGCAGCATGTTAAAGCAGTGTCTTATCAATGTGGACTTCTCGCGACTGCATGCAAATCAGCAGCTGCGCCCAAAATGCGGTGAGATATTTTACGAAAGCGACAACGAGTACTGCAGCTTCCAGTTGGTTTGCTGCCTCTGCGAAATGAAGCACTTTGCCTTTGACGATTTCTCAATGCACATACGCAATGTGCATTTCGACAGCCATGGAAAGCCGCGTACACATGCGGCCACCGCCATGGCGCATGCAGACACCATTGAGGTACAGGAGCAGTTCCATCTGATTAATTCAACACCAAGGCCAATGCCAGAATTAGGGGCCAGTGAATGCAGCGAAGCTGTATCAGATAATGGATCGGATGATGGTGACGACGTCGCTAAAGCAGTGACCATTAAGCCATTGCGTGTCTGCGCCTTCAATGAGGTCAAATTGGAGCAAGCGTCGATGGAAGCCAACGAAAATGCTGAATGCGAAGACAGTTCCCATAGTGCAGACGAACTGGACACAGAAGATGTTCATGGCTTTAGCGATGCCGATGACGATGCTGATAGCGAAATGGAAATGCAGTCTGTTTTTAGGGTGAGCTCTGTTCAAATTGTTTAGTCTTGCTTGTACTATTTGGCTTTTATGTCGCAGAAAGAACGGCAACCCAAGGAGTACAACTGCAAATACTGTGCTGGCAAATACACGACGCTAAAATACCTAAACATACACCTTAAAATGAGTCATCCGCATCCGAAGGGCTTTAAGTGCAATGATTGTGATGCCGCCTTCGATGTGGATCGAGCCCTGGAAACGCATCGTCGCAAGGTGCATACAGAGTTTACATGCAACCTGTGCAACAAGGTTTACAAAAGTTCGCGCACGCTTTTACGCCATGTCCAAGGTCACTCTGGTCTGCGAAAGTACAAATGCGAGCACGAGAGCTGCGGCAAATCCTTTGTCAGCCAGCACAATCTCACCTCGCATCGGCGTGTGCACAGCACGGAACGGAATTACATCTGCGAGCTGTGCGGCTATCGTTCGCGCTACCGCGATGCACTAATTGTTCATCGACGCACGCACACCGGCGAGAAGCCATTCAAGTGCCAGACATGCGAGCGGTGCTTTGCTTCCAAGTCGCTGCTCAATGAGCACCAAGCCATGCACTCAACGGATCGGCCATACAAGTGCGATAAATGCGAGGCTGCATTTTCGCGCCCCAAAGCGCTCTACCACCACAAACATCTGCATTTGGGCATTAAAAAGTTTAAATGCAAAATCTGCGGCAATGCTTATGCCCAGGCAGCTGGTCTCTCGGCGCATATGCGCGGCCACAAAGCTCAGGCCGTCAGTGGCATTGTCGATGCTGGATCAGCGATGCTGTGTCCGCCCTATTAGTATACGAAGCGGCCTGGCTTAGAGCATAAAGCTTAGTTATCATATTAATTTTCATTAGATTTAGTCGAACAATAAGCAATTGTGCGATAATTAAAACAAAATCAAGTCTGGCAAAATCTGTCGATTACGTATCGAGACCCTGCAGGGTATTACAATTATTGTATAAAATGTGCAACACATTTGAAAAAGGTGTCTTTGACCTTATAAAGTATTATTTTTTTTATAAGTAACAATTGATTTGAAGCTTAAAGGCCGTCGCCCACGTTAAGCATTCAATCATATTCTGTGAAACTGAAGTTGTTTAGTTAAACGTACTAGTTGGTAAACAAATTTGGATTCGTTTTAACATTTATTTCGAACAGGAACTTAGAACTAGGCGCATAATATGTTTACACAGAAATACACGAGCTTTCTCTTTGGTTTGGTTGCGTGCATTTGCCTTTCATAATACTTAAAGTATATAGTATTTAGCGTAACACTTCTAATATTACACAAAAAAAAAAATTGAACAACAACAACAAATTGTTCTACATACATTTTGAAAGCAGCGGGAGCAGTCCTAGGAGCGTGCTCAACAGATTCAATTTACATATACATATGTACATACATATATAATATACTATGCATGTCGGAGAATTTAGGCCCACACACGTATAGTGTAGTCCCAGCTGCCTGTCGATAGCGCAGTGCCATCGGGCGAGACTTGAACGCAGGAGACCTTGTTCTCATGGCCATACAGCAGGCAGACGCGCTCCGATTTCAGCGTGTCCCACAGGTTGACAGTATAGTCATTGTAGCCGGCAAAGAGCAGACGCCCGCTGACCGAAAAGTCCACAGAGTTGACGCCAAAAATAATGCTCTCCTTGGCAAAGACGGCCACCTCGCGATCCGCACGCATATCGTACAGCCGGCAGCTGCTGTCATCGGAGCCAGTTGCGATGGCATCGCCGCATGGATGGAATTTAACACTATTCACATCCGATTGGTGGCCCTCAAAGGACTGCACCACATGACCGGAGCGCATGTCCCAAATGAACGCCATGCGATCGCAGCTACCAGAGACAAATGTATTGCCCGTCTCATTTGGCGCCAAATCGATAGCCATAACATCGCCGGAGTGACCATGAAAACTTTGCAGCAATTGCCCAGATTCGACATCCCATAGCGCGCATGTTGAATCCCCGCTACCGGTGAGTATTTGCTGATCAGAGTTGGGATAGATGCAGCATGACATGTAGCTGGTATGTGTGCCAACGGTTCGCTTCTTAGCGGCCATTTCCTCATCCGAGGTAATCGGATATACGGTTACTTTATTGTCCAGTCCACCGCAGGCTACATAATTACCAGATGGTGCATAGGCACATGCCATTATCCAAGTTGTGGGCATTGTAACAGCGTGCTCCTTGTTTGTGGTAAACGCATCCCAAATGATAAGGCGTCCATCCTGGGATGATGAAATAATATGTCGCTTATCAGGACTCCAGTCGGTGCAAAGCACCTTGGCCTGATGACCTTTCAGCACCTTGCGCGGCTTTATGTTCACGAAAGCAATCTGCTCCAGCCTTTCCGCAATGGTCGAGAGATTGACATCGTTCAGCTTTTGGCGCTCCTCCTCCAACTTTGCTTTCAAACTTTCCGCCTCCTTCAGCAAGCTTGCCATCTTGTCATTTGCATTGGCATTGCTGGCTGAAGCGGCGCTCTCCGACATTTTGACAATTGATTTTAATGTTTATATCCTGCTTGTGCCGTAAAGTTCAATGTAAAAGCGGGGGCGAAAAATCAATACAGTGGCTGCAGTTAGAAAAAAAGTGTATACCCGAATACACAACGGGCGGCTGCTGCCAGTGTGTGAAATGCAAAATGTTTTGAATGTTGTACACAACACTGAACGTTATGAAAAACGTATACTATCGATTAAAATGGAATAAGCCAACTAGTGTATTAAGCTAATAGATGTTAATATTGTTGATTAAAAATGATTTGATATGTGAGACATTAATGAAGGCATGACTTGTGCATTCATATTAGCTTCAACGTTTTCAAAGTACAAAAAAACACACATCGATAGCTTAGCAAAATATAATAATCAAAAGTGTTATCGGTTTACAGCTGTGAGGTGTTTAGTGCGACGGCGGCTTCAATTTGGAGCTTTTATGCGACTCCAAAGTTAAATGGGCCCAATTTTAAAGCAACTGTACTGTAATCAGTGTGTCACAGGATGATTAAATTGCAGCCTGAATTTCCTCGGCCGTATTTTAATTTTCGTTGCGGTGAGGTGCTTTGCGTTAGCCCCACAAACTACGATGTGTGCTGTGCGCTGTGTGGCCAGCGGGTGCCATACGCAGGATTTCCTCAGCACTTTCGCCGGATTCATCTGACGGAGACAGAAAAGGAGACTGAAGACTGCAAGTTGTTTACTGAACAGGTAGAAGAACAGCATCTGGATGCGCCGGTGGAGTTCGAACCGTTAATCATTAAGTCCGAGGATGATCCAATTGCACATGACGTCCTTCACGAATCCAATGAGCATATACATGTTGATTTAGCACAGATAGCGCTACTTGACCGGGAGCACGAGACTGACAAAGATGCAGATGTTACTGCTGCATTTGAAGATTTGGATGACACTAGCACAATTGATGCCCGGCGCTGGCGACGGGAAGCAGCACTAAACAATATTGTAGAGCTGCAAACGCAGACCTCAGAAAATGAAACAGTTGTGGACGGACATCTAGACGCCCGCCTTGTAGTCAGTGAGGAGTCGGCTTCTGATAACAATGATGAGAAGGACAACACAAGAGACATGCTCTTTCAGTGCGATCAATGTGACCGCGCCTACAATACCAAGCGAAGTCTCCAGAGCCACAAGCGCGGCAAACACAATGTTCGCAAACCAGCAAAGCTTCATAGGATTGCAGGAGAGCCAACAAAGATAGCACCAGCTACGGCGAGCAACGTTCGCCGGGGACAGCGCAAGGGTCCCGCCAAGATCTATAAATGCGATGAAAATGAGTGCAATCAGACATTTCGAACGGAGCGCGATTTGCGTGGTCATCGATGGAAGCACACGGGCATATTTTGCGACATCTGTGGCAAGCCCTTCACTCAGTCCGGCAACATGATGCGCCATCGCCAGCGACACAGCGGCATCAAACCGTACAAGTGTCAGGAGCCAGACTGCGAGGCCACCTTCTATACGCAAAAGGAGCTGACGTCGCACAACATTTGCCATACCGGTCGCATGCCCTGCATATGTGAGGTGTGCGGCCGTCCCTGTCGGGATCGCGGCGTACTCACCGCCCATATGCGGCGTCATACTGGCGAACGACCCGCTAAGTGTGAGGTATGTGGCAAGGCCTTCTATAGCTTCCACGACCTCAACGTGCACGCGGTCTCGCACACAAATCTGCGACCTTTCGTTTGTGATGTCTGCGGCTCCACGTTTCAGCGTAAAAAAGCGCTTCGCGTTCACAAGATGCTGCACTCCGACCAGCGAAAATATTCATGTCAGCTATGCGACAAAACGTTCGCTCAATCGGGCGGTCTTAATGCTCACATACGTACCCACGAGTCGGCCCGGGCCAGGGCGAGAGCAAATGCCAAAGGAGCTTCGAAATCAACCGTGGAGCCAGCAACGCCAATTGAAGTCGAAGGCGTAAATACGAAGAAACTGCTGGAGGAGTCTGTCACAATTGAGCTGATCCAGGAGCAGCATGTGAAAGTTGTTGCCGTTGCGGCTGCGGGCAGCTGGCATGTAGCATAGTTTTTCGCTCTGTCTAGCATAATCCCATTAGCCTCAAGTGGGGCTTGCAATGTAAATATTAAATTGGATATCGCAAATGGAAATGTATCATAAAAAACTAACTTAAATATTTTTCCTAACATAATTGTCTATATAAAAAGAGGGAGAAGATAGAGAGATCCAGGTTGTATTATACCCAAATAATCATGACAGCGATTGCTAAAGAGAAAGCTCGCGGCTGTGCCCGCCTGGGAGACACCCTGTATCCCTCGCCGAGCTACTCTGCCAAACATTCTAGCCTTCTCGTACGCATGTCGCTGCGTATAGTATAAAAGAATGTATATTTTAAATTTCAGGTTTATATTTTTGAAAAATCTCATATATGAGCCAGGATACCAAATTTAAAGTCTCTACTTCGTAAAGTCTTTGAGTAAGAGGTCAACCGATTTGTATTTTGAATGGGAACATATTATCAAAATGGGCGTAGTTCTTTATATAAATAATCACTCCATATCGATACAAAAGATTCCTTTATTTTTTACTACATAATTATTTTTTTTTGCTTACCTAGGTGTATGCAATATATTGCCTAAGTGTCTATATTATGTATATAAATATTTATATTTGTAGTATCTATGCTGCCATGAATATTGCCAAGAGTAAAATAGTCACCTAGGCAGAAATATAAATAATCGAACAACTTATAATATAATGGACGTTTTTGTGTTTGCAATTGATAAAATCAATGAAAAAGAATGACTGGAAGTGTTTTATAAACAGCATATAAAAATAACAAATTAAAAAAAAAAAAAAATACATAAAACTAGTTAATTAAAAGTATAAACCTCATTCAAAATAATAATAATAATAATATAATAATATATAGACGGATATAAGGACAGGTATAGCATGACTGGATACTCTAATTGATTACCATCTGAGGTCTTCTGCCAACGTCTTTGACATTTCGTTGGTGTTAACTGGAATGCGGTTAGAAAATATGCAACTTGGGCAGGGTATTCGCGAGTTGCATGGAATGCAACAGTTGCTCTCAATTGTTTAACAATAAAATGTGTGTAAATGTATACAAAAATTGGCTTGCTCAAATTGCTATCATATATGCATATATGCATTGTACATATATCAGTTAGGATAAAGTCGCCTCTAAACTACGGTATAAAAATTGCTTTGCTGTGATGTTTTGCCTTCCGTGTGACTAATATTCGTACAGGGTATAAGGTCTTTATAAAATGTGTGTGCGTATGTTTGTATATTGAGCACACGGGATGTGGTTACTTGAGTTCAGGTTGAGATTCAGACAATGTTGATCTCAATCTTGATTAGCAGCCGATTGTCGGCACAAAAGCCCAATTGCATAATATTGGATATGTTGGCATACTCGAGAAATCCAAAACCGCGAGTGCTGATGGCCTCGCGCGGCTGATGAAAGGCGAGAATCTCTGGCTTTGTCATGATGGTGTCATGCTGGGAGAGGCTCGCATCGCCCGGATGCACCATGCACAGCTTGATGCGACCCTTGAATGGCCAATCCAAATGGAAATCGTTCTCCGACTGCATCAGATGCACGTGCAGACTAAGCACATGCGGCTTTCGCGGCTGTATATTGAGACGGGCGCAGAACTTGTATCCATACGGTGATGTATAGCATTCGTGTGAATAAACTTGGTTATTTGCATTGGAACGCAGACGCTCGACCAGTGCGCTCAGCTGCTCGATGCGCCAGACGATGGTGCCGTTGCTATACCGTGCATCGATAGGCTGCTGGCGCCGCAACTGTTTGTTGAGATTCTCGATGCGTGTCTCCTGCTCGCGTGTACGTTGCTCAAGCACAACGATGCGCTGGTACATGGACTGAACGATTTGCTCGTCAACTCCATTCGCATACTGAGGTGGCGGTGCCAGCTGGCCAGCCTTGTGGCCGTTCTCTAGGGAGCTAGTGCTGGGCTTGTGCGGCTGCCAAGTGGCAATGGCAGTTTGTTGAAATGCCTGCAACATGAGCTGCATGTGATGCGGCATATCTGTTTTGATATGCTCCTCCAGTTGATTTGTCTCCGGGCGACCAACAAAATCGCACTTAATGCTAGCAAAAGGACACTTCTCCTCGAGCTGCTGCTGCTGCAGTTGCCGGCGATACGGGCAGCTGGGCAAATGTCGATGCAGCTCAATAGGCGAGGCCACAACGGCGCAGCCGTGCGGCGAGTTAGGGCACTTATGCTTGATTTGCTCAATTTCACGACGCGTATAGTTGTCGGGAAAGATATCCTGCTCCGTGGAGAGCTGCTTATTGTCAAGTGGGCAGCACTGGTTGTGATTCTCCAGCCAATCGCTGAGGCAGCTCTTGCAAAAGCGATGGCCGCATGACGTCAACACGGGCTCATTCAGCCAGTCTATGCAAATGGCGCACTCATACCGCGAATCCGGATATTCTGTGTCGCCATCGTGTTCCCCCGATGTGTCAGAAGCAGCATAGTTCCGATTAAGCGCCAAGGTCCGTGGCGGTGTCATTGCTGTTGCCCCGCCAGCTGTATTCGTTGCCGTTGTGGGCGTGGTATTGCTGCTCCCAGCAATGCGCGTCCCATTGCTGTTACTGTTACTGTTGCTGTTATGTTGATGGTGATGATGATGATAGTGCTTCGGCTGTTGTTGTTGTTGTTGTTGTTGCTGCTGGTCCTGTTCTGTGTGCTGTTGCTGCTGGTGCAGCTTCAATTGTTTTTGATCTTGTTGAGTTCGCTGCATTTCATTAAAACGTACATGAATGCGCCGTACTCAAGCTGGCCCCAAATTGTTTTAAAATTGAATCTAGTTGACTACCACAAAAATATTGATGCTGCTGGCCAGTGTTGTAAACTGCTAAACACTTTAACAGCTGACTAATGAGTTGTTTCCATTTGGTAAAAAGCAAAAAGCAAAATGTTTCACTTCAACGGCAATTTATCAGCGCATTTTGTTTATTTAATATACACTGAATGCAAGTTCAGCGAGCTGTGCACAATAAAAACTCAATTACGCATTCTGGAAGATGCGAGACTTTTGCCTCGTAGAACTAGCAGCGAGCTTTTGCGCAAGTTTTGCCACACTGGATGCTAAACACCTGTTCCATTGCACAGCACTGTTCGGAGAAAGATAAGCTAATTCACCTGCGCGTACCCTAAACACGAATCGTAATCGCCAGTCGAGCTGCAACGTGCGAGCACATAAAACGCCAGCGTCTCGCAGTCGAAACGACATTTGAGTAGGAAGCGTGCCGCAGCGCGAAACCTTAAAAGAGAATACGTTATAGCATTGAATGAAAAACTGTTTGACTGACAGACAATTTGACAGAATGGCACCAAAATTCGCACTGAAATGCAATTACATTTATTTGTTGTTTCTAATTGTGTTCGCCTGGCAGCTGTGCGCGGCTAAGCAGCTGCCTTTGCCTGCCAATGTCGCTGCCGCTGCAAGCGCAGCAACAACAACAACAACAGCAAAAACTACACCAACACGAACAAGCAGCAGCGGCAGCATCAGCGCCCAGCAACTACGTCACGAATCGTACGATATTGATGACGATAATATTGCAGACGCACACATGGCCCCCTCGCGCAGACGTCGCCAGGTGTCCGATTGGTTCATAGCGCCAAATACGCGCTGGTGCGGGCGCGGCAACTTGGCCAATGGCACATACAATCATTTGGGAGGTGCATCGCTGGCTGACAAATGCTGTCGAAAGCATGACCACTGCAAGATTTACATACCGGCCATGTCGAATCGTTACGAGCTCTTCAATTATCGCCCCTATACGCTGTCGCATTGCAGCTGCGATCGGCGTTTCCGCACCTGCCTCAAAATGGCCAGTGACGAGGACGCCAATACGATTGGCAAGCTTTTCTTCAATATGGTGCAAACGCAGTGCTTTGTCCTTAAAACGGAAAAGGTGTGCCAGCAGCGTGGCACAGGCATCGACTCTGACAAATGCCTGAGGGAGGTGGTCAGCCACAAGGCCTACCTCAAAAATAATAAGAAGTTCTAAACGCCGTCGCATCAGGTAAATTCTCAAATATTGTTTGGCGTCTATTGAAATCACAACAACAATCTTTGCTATTTCCTTGCAGCGAAGCCGAAACTAAATAAGCATGTGTGTATGTAAAACGCAGCCAAAAACCGAAAGCCTGTTTTTTTGTTTGCGTTGCATTTCGAATTACCTGCCAAATGCACCTCTGTTCGCAAAATACATCTAATTCGCCATTAAGTTTGAAACCTATTGGTAAACTAATCTCACAGCACAGATGGGCGAAACAACTTAAGCATTGCTTAACTTTAATCTCGTACTTACGAACAGCTTATTACTAAACTATACTCTACCATACCAATACACAGTTTTACGTATTAAGCCGTCAACTTCTTGGATACATACACATATACACACATACATATATATATATATATATTACGAGTGCTGTTATAGTGCGTAACGTAATAGCCAATACACATATAACTTTTACGTATTCGTAGTTTAAGCATACGAACATAGGCTGCCTGTGAAACAAAGTTTTAAATAGTTTGTAGCTAACATAGTTGATCTAGCAGTTAGTTCAAAAATATAACAAAATTATTTACCCAAACGTCCCTAAGTTATTAAGTGTTGTGGCATACAATATATGTATGTATGTACAACATACAACAACTGAGTTGCCTTGATTTTAATTATGCTTTACGTTTAGTCTAGTATTTTTTAGTGTTTAAAATTTTACAAAAACAATAAAAGCGAAAGTGATTATCAAATTCAACCAAAAATATGCTTCTTTAATCAAAAAAAAAAAAAAGTAAAGCTTTGGAATTTTGTACTTTACTCTCGACCATGTTATCAGGTCTCGAAGGTACTATATGTATGTGCATGCGAATGTATGTACACATGCATATGTGTGTATGTATGTGTGAGCATATAGGCGAGGATGACATATTAATTGATGTGTCTTGTCTCTGTGTTCCGTCACATTGACGTAGTTATTGCTGATGACCCTTTGACAGCGACCCGTAATGACACAACGCATTTCTCTGTTTGTTTTGTTAAATCCGTTTTTATGTTATTGCTTAGACGACGATGCGTCACGGGAAAAACTTTCCAGTTTTGCAAAGCATCCTCAACTGTCATGGCGACCTTTGAGCCTGGCCACTTGTTAACCGCCTATCGACTAATCGATAACTCATTCGGTCCTGCGCCACAGATATTTGCACAGTTACAAATTCAAATTTAAGTGGTGTGCGTGAGTGTGTGTGTGTGCAAAAGTGGGCGTATCTGTTGTTGCTTACATTCCAGTCAGTTCCTGTTATTGCAGCGACCCGCACTAAACGATTGTGTCTAATTGTAAATACACGTTTTGATGATAACCAACACTTGTTGTAATCTGATAGATTGGTGACGTTTAATTTTGTTATTGCTACTTTTTATTTCTATTAATAATCATGCTTGCGTTGTCTAAAGGCCAATTACATTTTGGTTGTAAAAAAAAGTAAACAAAACAGACTGTTGGAATGCTAATTTGGATTAGTCTTTTATCTATGTACACACATGTACGTATGTACGTATGTATGTATGTATGTATGTATGTGAATTATTCGAACAGAGCCCTTGAGGAACAAAATTGCAATTGTGATAGATTATGGAACTGCAGCAAGAGGTTCTCGTTAGCCAAGGTACTCCGAGTAGCG